TATAAAAAAAATCAAAATTGTAAATCGTGGTGTAATTCGGTAAAAAAAGATTAATTCGAATGAAGTTTTTGATGATAAAGTTCAATTTGTGAATTTTTGAGAATGATCTGACTCGATTTTTATTAAAATGTGAACAACTTTGCGTTCAAATTACACGTATTTTCGACGTAATATATGATGATGAAAGAAAAAAAAAAAGAAAGAAATTTCTTCGAAGAAAATTCGGTTAAAGGATTGGTTCATCGTGTATTCCGCTCTCCTCCTCTTCTATATCATCAGGGGGAGAATTAAATGAAAAATGGAAATATACCGCAGGAGACCTTCGTTACGATTCATATTACGAGTTGATTCGGTTTCCTTGTCGTACGTTGGAAAGATTCGAGAAAGACACAGCTGAAGGAACTACGTATTACGTTGGTGAACGTGAGGGGGAGAGAAGAACTGGAAGATCGGATAAAATCAGCGGGTATTCAGGATTTCGATCAGAATTCGAGGGACCCTTTTTTCGTCCTCCTTTCTTCTTCTTCTTCTTCTTCTTCTTCTTCTTTTCCCTTGTTCGACCGGTTAACGAGTCACTTTACCCTTGCTTAACGCTTCTTCTCCTCTAGTGTCCGAGATCATCCCCTTGGAACACGGCCCTTCGCTGGTAAGGGCTTAAATAACACGGGGATGAAAAATGATGGAGCGAAGATGCGTTTATACATTCTATATCGAAGTGAAATTCTTTCGAACAATCTTGATTTTTATAAAGCAAAATAATAATTTCGATGATCGTTTAAGAAAAATATCGGAGAGATTTGATCCAAATCTTTAAATAACATCTATATAAATATTTTCAGACAACTTTAAAATATTGTCCAAGTTACCTTGAATGTTCTGAACGTTCTCGAATGATCTACAAGCGATTAAGAGAATGCGATAAGATCTAAAGTAGCTTTAAACGAGCTTGAGGCCATCTCTAGGAACGCCTACAAACGATTCTGAGATAACTTCCAAATGCGTAACAATCTTAACACTCGATCTCTAAAAAAAAAAAAAAAAAA